GTAGTTCACATTCTTTAAGGAGAAGACTTAGAGGAATCATCCCTTTCAGTTGCTCAGATTCAGGAAGCAAAAAACACAGTTGAAAATAATAATAACATAACAAATAATTATGAACCCCAATTTTTACTTAACAAAAATATTGTCTATGAACAATTGGCACACTGTCATCATTGCTACTTTTGTTAAAGCACTTGCTCCCTGAAGCTGATCTACAGATGAGTTAAGTGACTGCAGAATATTTTCATCCTCTCTTTCTCTCTCTCTCATACACATGCACATACATGCACACACACACACAAATACTTTTTAAATGCAGACATATTTCAGAAATTTCTGGATAGACAATCTAAAAGATGAGGGATCCATTGTATACTAGCTTCCCTATAGTTTTTTTTCATGATCCAGTTTGTTTTCCCCTTACTTGATAAAGTATATACTCTACCTGAAGTAATTATATAGATGAAATTACTAACTCCTGTACTTGGAACTGCAGTCCCTCTTATAATTACAGTCTAAGGCCTGTGGGCCATGGAAGGCAAAGGCATTGGATCATATTAAATCAGAGCATTTCTTCTTTACCTGGGGCCAAAGAAGCATGTGAGAAAAGAGGCAAACTGGAATGAGGGAGGCTTGCAAAACAGCAGGAAGCATGGCAAGTATAGTTCACCAAAGATTGACATTTTTGCATCTTTGTAGGCTAGAGACATCTTGACAGAAACAGCAATTGGGCCTTAAGAAACCCAAATCAGACCAGATGCTGAGGCATCAAGGCAAATCATCAGCCTGTGTTCTTCCTTTCATAGCTTAGCCTACAGAAGGAGGAAGCTTACTGAAGTGTTTCTGTTTCCTCATCAACTTATTTAACTTAATCCATAGCAATGTGACATCAAATCCCGGTTTTCTATAGAAACTGGTCTGGTGAAGATCACCAGTAACTGCCAGTTGTCAGAGACAGTGGCTGCTTTTCAGACTTTCTCTGACCTGATGTAGCATCATCACTGCTGACCTTCCCTCCTCTTGAGCTGGCCTCCTGCCATGGCTTCCACAGCACTGATCCTCCTCTGGCATCTCCACTGACACATGCTTCTGTAGGATGCTTTTCTTCCACTGCACACTCCCCCATGCTCCTGATGTTGATTTTGCTTGGATGTTGGTCCTTGCTCATCTTTTCACTCAGCTATGCAGGTTTTAAAGCTATGCAAGTTTTAGGCACTTGGTAGTCTCATAACTGAAACTACCACCTCTATTGTGATAACATCCTAATCATCTCCATTCTGGACTTCATATGCAGCTACCTACTGAACATCACTTCCAACTGATACGCCTAAAATTGAACTTATTTCTCTTCTTTCAATCTCTACCTTCTTCCTGGATCTAAAAGTGCTAATTTTCCTATCGCGTTCTATTCTGGTTAATGCCATCCAAACTAACTGTTGGGAGTTACCAAGGTTCCTACAACTGCCTGCTATTCTCTCCAGGTCTGGAACTTATCTAGAGTCCTACAGTTCCCTTTCTAGTCTCGATTCACTCACTCCTCTCTCCTAATTATCTCTTAACTCTCTCATTCCTGCTACTCTTTTTGTGCAATTATCTCCTTTTGCCTTTATTATTGTAAATCTATAGCTTTCCACATTGCCTAAGAAAATCTTTCAGAAACAAAATCTGTTTATATCCGTTTTTCACTCTCCAAAACCAGAAGGATAAAGTCCAAATTCCTTCCTGTCCTAATTCCACCACCTTGTCAAGCCTGATCTCACAACAATCTCTTCTTCCACATTTTACTCTAATCATATGTCTTCAAATTATTTCATACTGCAATGTCAGAGCTGTTCCATATGAGAGAATCTCTCTCTCTCTCTCTCTCTCTCTCTCTCTCTCTCTCTCTCTCTCTCCAATACGATTCCAACACCCAGGCTCAACCCAAGCACATCCTTAATTCAAAGGTCATCTCCTCTATACCTTGCCCTGAGTCATTGAGACTGACTTGATCATTCTCTTATTGTGCTCATAATTGTTGTTGAACAAATTCTGTGGAGTTCTGCCTCTAAAAATAAGACAGTGATGACTAAAATGGTATTTGAGCTACATCTTAGTCATAATGCATGTAGTGATATTACCTGCTCTAGAGAACATTGCTTTGATGATGCTGGAGACTGAATTATCAGCTTCTTCTCTACCCTACTACAATACAATTGACTAGATTGCATTAGTTTTCTATGTTCTTGTCCCCATTCTATCATTGTCTAAGAACTCTTTGAGGATGGAATCCCAGGTCTATTAATATTTTATTTCCAATATCTAGCATTTAGCACAGTGTTTTGAATATTATGAACAGTCAATATGCATATTTGAAGAATGAATTGTCTGAGCCTGAATAGAACAATTGTTTCAGTTCTGCATTATCTCTTTGAATTTTTTAAATGTCTGAACTTCTATGCTGTAAACATCATATTAATCTGAAATTAGTGCCACGAAGTCTGTTTTGTGCACTGAGCAAAAATAGCTTTTATAAATTAAAGAATAGCACTTTAAATTATTAAAGAAAACTTGATAAAAACTACAAGATGAACAAACATGTTACATGTTTGTTCTTTCAAAGGGTATGTTGTAAATGACACAATTTACCTCTTACTCCACTGATGGTTTTACATTCATAGTGATGGAGAAATGTATGAGTGAAAAGCTTGGGCTCCAAAGCCAGACTGTCAGGATTCAAGTTTTTGCTTTGGCTTTATTATTTATTAACTTATTAAGTATTTGACTTTGGCCAAGCTTTTAATCTCTCTTTATCTTAGTTTCTTCATCTGTAAGAGGGGAATTATAAAATTTATCTTTTTAGGTTGTATCTGAATTAAATGAACAAGTTTATATGAAGAGATTAGAGTAGGATCTGGTCCATAGTAAGCTAACAGTAAGCGCTGTGACATGATTTTGTATAGCTAAATGCACATTCTACAGTTAAAACCCAGTTCATTAATTTATTCATTGTCCTTTCAATCACTTACTCAATGTTGAATTTATTTATTCATTAAAGATTTGCTGATTGCCTATTAAATATTAAGCACTGTATTGTTTATATGAAATATAAAATATTAGATATGACCCTGTCTTCTCAACAAACGTAATTTGGTAAAGAGATGAAAATACATAAAAATAATTACTGTACACAGGAATGCAATAAGATCTTTAGATGAAGTTGTACAAGTATATTACATATGAATATTTTTTCAGACTTCCAGGGCTATGTTCATAATTATAGACAATGTCGATTGCATATTATGTCTTTAATCACAAGTAAAACAAATTGTGTTAGTACTTCATAGCACCTCTAAAATAGGAAGCCGGTGGCAAAGAGAGAGTGAGATCATTGAAGTCCATCCCAAAGATACCATGTTTCAAAGCCTTTTGAGCAGAGCTTCACTTCCAGATGATTGTACTAAGGTCCCCAGAGTGAAATAAACACTTACATAAGTGTCATTTGTTCCTAATTTGTGGCATTCATGAATGCTTCAATTTTGAATATCAGAATGTGACTTAGAAGTTTAAATAGCAAAAGCCTAACATATTATTAAGTCTTAAATTTTCTTTACTTTGCCTTTCTAATTCAGTTATTCTTTCAGATTCTTGAATATTTAAACCATATAAATATTAATAGCATATTGAAGAAATACCAATATTTACATTAATTTGGAATTCACAGTACTCTATAATATTTTCAGTGCTTTATATTATTCATAATTACACTAAATAAAGCATCGTCATGGAAGGAACTCCAGCAAGTATAAATGCCTATTGCATGACAAGCAATACTTTTCTTTCAGAGTGGAGATAATAAAAATATTAAGTAATAATATTAAGTAATATTAAGCTAGAAAAACAAATGAAGTAATATTTGAAAAGTGTATATAGAACAAATAATTTTCAAATGACTTTTTTTATTAACAGCAAACTGACACATATATTGTATATATATTATTTAACATCAGAGGTTTTTAAATCATGGTAATTCAAAGTTTACAAATCATAAAACTTCTTATTATAGTAAATTTTAAGTAGTAGGACTATTATATATCCCATCCTCATTTCTCCAAAATGGAAATGATCATGTCTGTGATTAACTAAAAATATTTGCATTTTTCAGAGACAGTTTAGGATTATAGGATGATAGCATAAATATATACATCAGGTTTCAGTAAAACTATAAGAGATAAGGATGATTCAGCTAACTGTGGAACTGAAAATACAGTGAATTCTCTGTCATCTCCTTTCAACATTTTGAGAAACACACCATTTCCAAATAAGGAATATCTAAGGGTTACAACATTTTGTTGTTGATTCAGCTGCTAAAAAGCACTAAAATGAATTGCAGGAGGAAACATTACATTAGGTTGCAGACCCCTCAACTCATCCTTGTGTTGGCTCTTCTGTTTTCATTTCTAGGAACTAAGATATATACTGTATTATATATATTAGTGAAACCTTAAGTTGTATTCTAAAATACACTTTTGAATAAAAATGTTCTCTTTATAGATAAAATATTTTGTATGTCATCATTTACTTACTATTTCATTGTGTTTATGGAATGTGAAATTCTTACTATTTCAAGATGAGTATCTAAAGAACATCAACCAAGAAGAGTACATTCAACCTAAATTAATCCACGTTTCAAGATAATATAACACATTTTAAAAGACAAAACAAAGAAAATCTCACTAAACTAAATATCTTTAGTCAGGAGACATTTTTCAGTGGATCTTATTATATATGCTTCCCCCCCCCCCTTTCTCATCTCTAAGACATTTTTCTAAGCACATGTAGACTTCTATAGAGATTATAAAATTCTCAAGCACCCATATTATTTTGGGGCCAAGTTACTCTGTGTAAGAAATGTATCACATCAAGTTGAGTTCTAAAATGGACATACTCTTTTACGTTTTATCTCTACTGATAGATAGAAGCCAAGAGGCCCATGGGGGCATTTTGGCAATACTGTTACTTACGGTTGAGAGGCAGGCTCGCATTGGTTGTGCCTAGCTTGTTGGCAGCCACACAAGTATAGTTCCCGAAGTGCTCCTGTGTCACATTGGTAACGGTGAGAATAGATCTTGTGCTAAAATTTTGAATGATAATTCCTTGTTGGCCATTGAAGAGCCTAGAAGACAAAATAAACTATAGGTAAGTATGTATTATAAGTATCATTTCCATTTTTATTTTAGATGGGATTGTAATGGCAACCCATTGACAGTTTTGACCACTGGCATTGGTATATAGCATGATAATGTTGAATTATATTTTCCTTTTATTAGTAGATATTGGACAGAAGAGGCCATATGACAACTGTAGACTGTTCTTATGGGATTATTTGCACTATTTAACAAACTGAGCTTAGATATGCATGACTGATTTATACATTGTTTTGTATTTTAGAAAATTAAACATACCAAAACAATGGCATCTTATCTGTTAAAGTCAAGAAAGAGTAGAAAAAATTAAATATAATAAATAGTCCACTAAAAGCACAAACTGATAGTTTCTAAGTAAACTGGTTGGGATATGTCTAGACCAGTGGTGCTCAACCTTCCTAATGCCACGACCCTTTAATACAGTTCCTCATGTTGTGGTGACCCCCAATTTCATTGTTACAAATTGAACATAATTAAAGCTTAGTGATTAATAACAAAAACAATATGTAATTATGTATGTGTTTTCTGATGGTCTTAGGTGACCCCTGTGAAAGGGTCATTTGACCCCTAAAGGGGTCGCGACCCACAGGTTGAGAACCGCTGGTCTAGACCAGTGGTCGGCAAACTGCGGCTTGGCAAACCGTGGCTTGCAAGCCACATGCGGTTCTTTGTCCCCTTCAATGTGGCTCTTCCACAAAATACCGACTTCTGCACATAAGCCACGAAGTTTCAATCGCACTGTATGTGCGCGCCCGCACATAGTATTTTGGGGAAGAGCCACACTGAAGGGGCCAAAGAGCCGCATGTGGCTCACGAGCCGTGGTTTGCCGACGACTGATCTAGACCATTTCAGGTGATATTATTGAATAACTCCCATTAAAGTTTAACCTACACCTGAGATAAGGTGGTTCCAGGGTCAATACCATTTTACTATTGCCATGTACAATGAGACAGAGGTATAGTGCTAAGGATAGTATTTAAAGTTGAGTCTCATCTCTGCCACATTTTAGGAATATGCTTATAATAGTCCTTTATCTTTTCTGGGCCTTAATATAGATTCAGTTTTTCCAGATTCCACCTGGACTACCCATTAATCTCTCTCCAGACTACCAGCAGATGCCCTCGCTCTCACTCTGGCTGGTATAGCTTCATTGTTCTCACTGCTTGCTATGCCCAGACCTGCTTCACTCTTTTCCTGAATCTACACTCAATGCTCATCATCTTCTTTTATCTCTGCCATCTAGAGCCTTCCCTCCTCATTGAGGTCTGATCTAGTCCCATCTCCCTTTCTCTGATGCACCTTAAATGAATCTCCTCTCTTTCACTCTGCATGTATCTTACCAAATGGTTGTAGCATTTATAAAGCAAAACCACATTCTTGAATTGTTTTTTCTAGCAATTTCTATGCACACAGGTCTTTTCAACCCAAATAAATTCAGATTCCTCACAAAGCACAGCCCTATGGACATACTTTATATTTGAATCCTACATTGCACTTAATAGTGGTATCCTCAGTAACAAATAGTTCAGAGTCAATGGAGTCTGGGTGATGTCCCGACACCATAGGGACTGGTAAGCTTCTTTCAGTGCCCCTTCAGGAAATTCTCTCTCTCATTATGAATTCTGCTGTAAGGAGGATGCCAATCAGATAATAACTTCTCCTAAACTAGCCCCTCTGTTTATTGTGAAAAAAGATGTGCTGATCACAATATGGGCTATGTAGGCTCATGTTAGTTTTACCTTTTAATGTGTTTAAGTTTTAGCATTAAATATTTCTTTAACTTTAAAGATGCTAATAAACGGCATTCCTCTGAGAGTCTAGATTGAAATTGTTTGCATTATGTTATGTGACTTGCATCTGAATTTAGATAAAATACACTGCAGTTATATGCAGATTAAAATAAGCAGCCATCCTTGATTACTTGGGGAATTCCTTATAGTTCATGTACTAGCTGGATTTGAATTATCTAAAACTCAAACTTTAATCAGATTAATAAAGCTTTGAGTTGAAAAAAATATTGGAAAATCTTTAAATTGAGCAATAAACCTAATGATCTCAAACTCTGACACAATAAATTAGGGCATAACAGCCTGGCTGGTGTGGTTCAGGGTTTGAGCGTGGACTTAGGAACCCAGAGGTCACTGGTTTGATTCCCTGTCAGGGCACATGCCTGGGCTGCAGGCTCAGTCCCCAGAAAGGGCATGCAGAAACATCGGCTGATCAATGTTTCTCTCATGATGTTTCTATCTCTCTCTCTCTCTCTCCCTTCCTCTCTCTCTAAAATAAGTAAAAAAATATATATATATAAAAATATATAAAAAATAAATTAAAAAACTAGGGCATAACATATTAAGACTATGGCAGCTTTTACTCCTCTGTCTCATATTGTAAATCTATCAAAATGTAGGCTAAATTCAGTGATATTACACATTTTTCTGCATCACATTAATAACTTTGCCTTTAATGAATTAGTTTATGTCCTATATTTAAAAAAATCAGTTTCATTGTTTTTAAGAACATAAGTATTATAGCTCAAATCAATTTGTTCATAATTATGCTATGGACTTATTTTCTAGAGAACTTAGCAACTCCCTAGACTACTAAACCCCATTGTGCCCCATCTACCAAACCAAGATCAATTTTGTTGCTAGATACTTGAGAAAAAGTCAGTGTCTTCACTTGGCTAGACTCTAGGGAGAAAATCTCAAGGGAATATTGAGATTCAATATTCCCTTGAGTTACTTTAAGGCACTGTGGTCTTATGTTCCTTATTGCTATCTTTCTAAGCTGGCTTGTAGTTCTCTGTCCTTTAATGTTACAAAGCCACAGATGTTGCTAGATCATGCATCACATCCATGTTCTGAATATCTAGGCCCATTTTTGACTTCTGCCAGCAGTGCACATCAGTGCTCCAACCCTTGCTATTCAGATCAGTCTGGCAGGTGATTATGACCAATAAAAACAGAAAAGGATTTTCCCTGGGGTTGTTTCTTCCCTAGGGGAAGCCAGCTCTCTGAGATTACTGGAGAATCCAAGGCTTCCTTCTTCTGTAGTTGGAAGTTTCAGAAGTGCTGACTCCTCAGGCATCACTTCAGAACCTATCTTTGCCTGGTGGATGGCTGCGACAGCCTTGGCAAAGCTGACCTTGAGGGAGAGTGACTTCTGAGATGGAGTGGATCTCTTAAGAGTATATCTCTGTGATTTTCTTGCAGGTATCCTGGGGGTAATAAAGAACTTTCTCAGCTATATCAATTCTGAAAATAGTAATTAAAATGCTACAAAGATGAGTTCTGCGCTGTGATTAGGGCCTAGGCTGGGCAACACATGTTCTTTGAAGATTTTTGAAGGCCCTTGAGAAAGTCAAAGCTGAAGATAAGAATCAGGTATATTAACAAGTGTTTACAACAGAGGGCATTTTAATCACAAGGGAGACCCTGTTAAGATGAACACATCTATTCTCAGTTACTGCATATAAAAATTTGAGCCACACCAGGAAGTCCTATCAATATGGCTCTAATGTAATTTTACTCCTTGATAAAAAACAAATAATAAAAGAGTTTTTTAATCGATGGTACTTATTTTTTCTTTAGGAAACAGATTTAGTTTAGTATGGTCTGATATAATTATATTATCTGTATTATCTGCAAAGAAAATGATTCTTTTTTTTATCAGTAAAAACATATATTTTCCAAATTGAATTGTTATTATGTGTTAAAGAAAATGCTTGATCAGTTTGAAGCATATATATATGAGCCTGTTCACAGGTGATCCTGGCCCCATAGATTTTTCATATCCATTTCAGATTTTTTTGAAACCAGACTTCCTTGCATTAGTGATGTGAAATCTGAAGTGGCAACTCAAGAAATTGTTTATAATATACCTTTCAATAAAACCAGAGAACTAAATTCAGAATGCTGCTTTATTTGGAGTTATGTATCTCTTTTCCCTAAACACTTAATTCTTTCTAGTTCTAAGGGAACCATTTTTGTGTTGACTTAGATTATAGAATGAGACATTTTTTTCTCATAGTCCTCCTCCCCCCAAAAGAGAGAGTAACTAATTTTGCTGGGCTAGATCAGCAGCATATGGTGCTTTTTTATAAATATGTGGCCATCTTTATTTTTTCACATTTTTACCATTCAATGGACCTCATGGCTATAAGATTCTTCTATTATTATGGTCTCCTACCTTCAGTCACCAATAGGAGTTTGTGCCACTATAAACTGAATGTTTGTGTCTCCCCAAATTCACATGTTGAAATCCTAATCTCTAAAGGTGATGGTATCAGTAGGTGGGGTCTTTGAGAGGTGCTTAAAAGGGATTAGTGTTTTATAAAAGAGGCTTCAGAGGGATCCCCAGCCCCTTCCGCAATGTAAGGATACAACAGGAAGTTTGCGACCCAGAAGAGGACAGTCACCAGATATGCTGACACCTTAATCACAGACTTCCAGCTTCCAGAACTGTGAGATAATTTTCTGCTGTTTCTAAGCTACCCAGTCTGTGATATTTTGTTATAGCAGCAGAAATGGACTAAAACACATACTGAGAACCATTCACCTTATTCTTATTCCTCTGCCTTGTGCTAATAAATGCCTCAAATCTATGAACTGCAGGATATTAGCTTTGCCAGAAGATGCTGACAACCTATCAGTGACACAGCCTGACCAACTAACTAGTCTTGAATTAGGGCAGCCTCTTATATTTTCATTAGAGGCCCGGTGCATGAAATTTGTGCATGGGTAGGGTCCCCAGGCCTGGCCAGCAATCAGGGCAGATAGGGGTCTTCCAGGTGCTGGCTGGGGCCTCCCTTCCATGGCTGCCGGCTACTGGCTGGGGCCTTCTTTTGTTCCCCACCACCTCCTGGTGGTCAGTGCACGTCATAGCGAGTGATCAAACTCCCAGTCTCCTGGTCAAACTCCTGAGGGGATATTTTGCATATTAGCCTTTTATATCCTATCTAATAATAGA